TTTTATTGGGGTCACTTTAGGATCTGAGACTGCCCTTCCTACCTACTGAAAGTTTTCAGCCGCAGGTCAGCGAAAGCGCACACCTGTCAAATATTTCAGGTATCAATTGCTGTGTTAACAAACCACTGCAATGCTTAATGGTTTAAAGAACAACCATTTTATTATCTCTCATGATACCGTCGGTTGATTTGGTTCAGTGGGTGGTTCTTCTGTTCTAGATCTTATTGGTGGGGGCTGTAGTCCCCTGAGCCTCCAGGGACTGGAATGTGAAGAAAGGCTGACTCATGGGGCTGGCAGTGACTCCTGGCTGGGATCTCAGCTGGGACTGTCAACTGGAGTGCCTCCCTTTTTTTCCATGTGGCCTGGGGTTCCCATTACATGGCGGCTGGGTTCCAAGAGGGAAGAAGGTGAAGCTGCGTGTCATCTTAAGGCGTGAGCTGAAAGTCCCACCATAAAACTGCCACCATTTCCATTCATCACCCAGGTCCAGAGCAAACCCCAATTCGAGGAAGAGGAAATAAAGTTTACCCCTTGATGGAGGACTGGCTAGTGCAAACAGGAAGGAATGGTAGCAGGCATCTTCACAGACTATTTATAAGAGTGTGTCACTCATTTGGCTTAAATTTTAAGTCAAGAGTCGTATTTTCCAGGGGCGCCTGGGTGGCTCAGTCTGTTAAGCATTGGACTTTGCCTCAGGTCATGATCTCGTGGTTGGAGGGCTGGAGCCCCCCATGGGCCTCTGTGTGGACAGCGTGGAGTCTGCCTGGGATCCTCTGTCTCTCTATGTCTCTGCCAGACCCCAGCAAATAAATAAACATTAGAGAAAGAAAAAAAATAATGTTTCCCAAATGTCACTCTGTATGAGATTGTGAGCGGGTTCCATCCAAACCCTGCCTAATTCAGCACAAAAGTGCTTTCTCATGGAAGCCTTTTCCAATACCCCTTGAGTTAAAAGGTCTATTCTTGGGTTCTCAAATAACTAGTACATATTTTTTTTTAATTTTTAATATTTATTTATTTTGAGAGAGAAAGTGCTGCGTAGGTGCAAGCAGGGGAGGGTCAGAGAGAGCAAGAGAGAGAGAGAGACAGAGAGGGAGAATCCCAAGCAGGTTCTGTGGCATCAGAACAGAGGGACTAGATCCATCAACCAAGGGACTGACGTGGAGCTTGATCCCTTGAACCAAGAAATCGTGATTTGACCTGAAATTAAGAGTCAGATAACTCAACCGACTGAGCCACTCAGGAGCCCCCAGGTGCCCCCATATTTTCTAATTGGTAATTTCAGTTACACTTACTGTGAATATATGTACTCTATATGGATACGTATTTATACATATCTACATGTTCAGATATATATTTTTTGGTCACATAAAGTAATTCATTTATTATAGGCTAGCAATGTTTCTTTTTTTAAATTTTTAAAAATGTTTTATTTATTTCTGAGACAGAGACAGCGTGAGCAGGGGAGGGTCAGAGAGAGAGGGAGACACAGAATCAGAAACAGGCTCCAGGCTCTGAGCTGGCTGTCAGCACAGAGCTTAACATGGGGCTCGAACCCACGAACCGTGAGATCATGACCTGAGCTGAAGTCGGACATTTAACTGACTGAGCCCCCCAGGCACCCGAGGCTAGCAATGTTTCAAACGGTGAAGCTTCTACTGGTCTTTCCAGCCTTTTAGTCTTCTGACGGCCGGCTATACTGTAGAGCCAGTAGTAGCACGGGTCCAGGTAACCCCGGTGACCGCTTTCAGGCAGGAACCACAGTACCAGATCCCGGCAGCTTTTCTTTTCATCTTGGTTTTGCCATAGAAGAAGCAAGTGTACTTGGCCTGCTGCCTTATTTCAGTCTTCATCATTTTCCTGTGGGACCTTAACGGGTCCCACATTTCCTGAGGATTCCAAACTTCTTGCTGTTTAGTCATGTTGCCGCAAACTAGGCCTGAGACCAGAGAGCTGAATATATATGTGTATGTGTATGTATATGTGTGTGTATATATATATATATATGTGTGTATATAACTGATAGATTGGTTTCATTTTAACTTCTTTCCTTTCTTCTTTTTCCCTCTCTTTCCTTCTTTCTTTTCCTTTGCTTCACAATGACTTAAGTGTCTATTCTAAGTCAGACAATCAGCGAGGTGCTGGAGACACTTCAGTGAACTCTGAACAAAGTCCCTGCCCTCTTGGAGCTTATGATTTAGAAGTTCTACCTGATCTTCTATGCTTATTTTTTAAATATTTTTTAAAGTTTATTTAAGTAATCTCTACATCCAACTTGGGGCTCAAACTCACGACCCTGAGATCAAGGGCTGCAAGCTTCTCTAACTGAGTTGGCCAGGTGCCCCCCCCCCCATCTTCTTTGCTTTAGAAGATCTCCCTGAATGACAATTGGTAGCAGAGATCTGAATGACAATGGGGAGCAAACCGGGAGGAATGAAAATTGCCTACAGCAAAGGGAACAAACAGCACAGAGATAGTCCCTGAGGCATGCTTGGGAAGCTCTGGAAACATCAGGAATGTTAGTGTCTTATACAGGATAAGATGTGAGAGAAGATCTATTACCTGAGATCGGAGAGGGAAGCAGTGACCAAGTCAGTTAGGGTCTGGGTTTTATCCCGAATGCAATAGGATGTCATTGCATCATGTTCAGGTTGGAAGTGACATGACTTAGTGCATGATTTTTCAAAGATCCCTCTGGCTACCGTGTGGGAACTGTCTGTGGGATTACTAAAGGGAAGGAGAGCTTCAGTTGCTCAGGTGAAAGTTTATGCAAGGTTTAGAATTCATTTCTGGATTCTCAACATTTAACACGGTATTTATTATCTGTTGTCTGATGAGGGATTGAATACAAGGAGCATATACCATCTGAGGGAGTACTCTTGCTAAACTATGTAGTTGGGGCCTGAGAATGCGTCGGAGAAGGAAAGAGACAAAAGCCTTCCCTTCATGGAGTTTTCTTTTTTTTTCCAAATATTTTTATTTATTTCTAGGAGAGAGAGAGAGAGACAGCGTGAGCAGGGGAGGGTCAGAGAGAGAGGGAGACACAGACTCTGAAATAGGCTCCAGACTCTGAGCTGGCTGTCAGCACAGAGCCCGACGCGGGGCTCGAACCCACGAACCGCGAGATCATGACCTAAGTGAAAGTCGGACGCTTAACCGACTAAGCCACCCAGGCGCCCCCCTTCATGGAGTTTTCATTCTAGTAAGGAAAAGAGATAATAAATGCCCTAAGTAAACAAAAATATGTGTTGTTTCCAACGATAAAAAATGCTGTGAAGTGAAATGAAGCAGAGAAGAAGGATAGAGAAAGCTGGGATCACAATGGGCAGGGATTTAAAATAGAGAAATCAGGGAAAGCCTCACTGAAGAAGTGGCATTTGGACCATGAGGGGTGGGGAGGGAGATGAGGGAGGGTGCTGTTAAAACTTTCCGGTGGTGGTGGTGGGGGGGGTGGGGGGGTGTGGGTAGGGTGGGGGTAAGGGGCTGGGGGCTGGGGGGTGGTGAGTAAACTAGGCAGAAATAGCAGGGGCAGGGCCTTTGAGGTCCCGGTGTCCTGGGTAAGTTGTAGGGACTCCAAGGAGCCAGGTGAGCCCGGAATACAGCAGCAAGTTGGACAGGAAGTGGGTGATGAAGACTGAAAGGGGATAGACAGCTGTGTCGGGGCTTTGCAGGTTACTGTAAAGACTTTGGAGGACAGCCATTAGATGATTTGGTTTTTATCAGGGCCTCTCTGGCTGCTATGCTGAGAGCAGGCTGGAATGCAAGCAGGAAGAGCAGTGGGAAGTTACTGTAGTAATCCAGGTGGGAAAGGAGAGTGGCGGAGCATAAAGTGGTTACTTTATTCTATTCATATCAAGACATTTAATACTGATTCAATAATAGTATCCAATATATAGTCCATATTAAACCCTCCCCCTTCCTGCCATCCTTTTTACATTAAAGAAAAACAATCTTGATCCAATCAAAGCTCACCTATTGCCATTTGGTTTTCACTTCTTTTGTGCTTTTTTTTTTTTTTTCCCAAACGTTTATTTATTATTGAGAGACAGAGCATGAGCAGGGGAGGGGCAGAGACAGAGAGGGAGACACAGAATCAGAAGCAGGCTCCAGGCTCTGAGCAGTGGGCATAGAGCCCAACGCGGGGCTCGAACTCACGAACACCGAGATCATGACCTGAGCCGAAGTCGGACGCTTAACCGACTGAGCCACCCAGGCGCCCCTCTTTTGTGCTTTTTAGAGTCCAGGCAAGGTGTTTTGTAGCATGTCCCACATTCTGGATTTGCCTGATTGTCTCTTCACAGGTTCAGGTTAGCTATTTTTTTGGCAAGGATACTACTACAGAGGTGGCATTGTGCTATCCCCATTGCATCATTTCAAGAGGCAAGTAGTGTCAGTTTGATCCATTACTGGGGATGCTGAGCGATGGTGTTTGGTGATTAGATCTCTTTGGTTGAGGTGGTGTCTGCCAGAACTGTCCGCTGCAAAGCAAGCTATTCCGTGGGACACCTGGGGGCTGAATATATAGTGAATATACTACTGCCCACCAACCTTTCGCCCAGTGACTTTAGCATCTAACGAAGAGCCCGAAGAGCCCGGTGGCTTGTGCCTCAGTTTGCTCACCTGAACAATGAGGATGTTAGTGGTCCCAAAGGGATGCTTGCTTTGAGGATCAGTACTTGGCACACAATAAACGCTCCGTAAAGGTTAGCTATTACCGGACGAAGGCAAGTGTGACAAGAGTCAGGGCAGGGCTGAGGCTGCACTACAACACTCCGGATCCGGCCGCAGCTCCCAGGCAGTGAGCGAGGGACTCCGGCCGGAGGGTCCTCACTGCCACGCCCTCGCGGCGCGCCAGCGCCGCCGGGCGGGGGCACCCAGGGCCCAGGCCGCGCAAGGCCCCCTGGGACCGGTAGTGCTGGGCGTGGCCTCGGGACTACATATCCCGGAGGCCCCCGCGCCGCGGCTCTAGCCGCTGCCGCCTCAGCCTGTACACAGCGACGGCGGCGGCCGCGGCGGCTTAGTCGGTGGCGGCGGCAGTGGCGGCGGCTGCGGGCTGAGCGGCGAGTTTCCGATTTAAAGCTGAGCTGCGAGGAAAATGGCGGCGGGCGGTGAGTGGAGATAAAGGAGGAGCGGCGGCGGGCGAGGGGGTGGAGTGCGAGGCGGGGGTAAAGAGGGCGAGTCCCCGGGTGGCCGCGAGCCGGCAGCTTGCGGCTCCGCGGAGGCGCTGAGGGGCGCGCCAAGCGGGGGGGGGGGACGCTGAGATAGTTTTGGGGTGTCGGGGCCGCGCCGCTTCCCTGCAGCCTGGGGCGGCCCGCGGCGGGGAGTTGAGGTGGGGCGGCAGCCGGCTCTGGGGTCCGAGGGGGTGCCCGCGCGGAGGGGCTCACCCTGAGGAGTTTGGGGGGGACCTCGGGGGTCCACTTTTCCCTCCAGTGCCTGAAGTTTTATCTCCTCCCAGCCCTTGGGGCTGCTTTAGCAAGCTCCCCGCGTCCACCTCCCGCTGCCTCAGCTCCTTCGCAGTTATTCGGAGGAATTAGGGGGCGGGGGCAGCCGCGCGGACCCCCGCCCACCCCCACCCCAGCCCCCAAGTCGCACCCAGAATCGGGTTGCGTTTTGGTGCTGTGTTTCCTCCTGCGCTCGGGGGCATTTTTAATCTCTTAACTCGCATTATCTGCGGAATCTCATTTTGGGCACGGATAGGGTTCTCCGCAGTTTTCTCAGTAAAAAGGCATTTTGCTACCTCCGGTGTGAAGCTTGGGGAACGGCAAGCGGGAAGTTGGTGGGTCACATTTGGGCTTTGGCTGTCTTCATCCGTGTCCTGGTGTTTCCCCCCCCGATCCCGTGTCTGATCCTTACGTACGTTGATTGAGTTTGTAATGATTTAAATAGTCTCGCACATGCCTTTAAAAAAAAAAAAGACGATCCGTGAGTCGTTGGAAGGCTTGGCTGCTCGAGGGCACTCGGGGTGGAAAAGTTAACCCAAAGAGCAGTGGGGAGAGGGGGGAAGCATCGTCTCACAGCCTCCGTCACGGGAGGAGGTCGCGATTCCACAATGGAATGACACGAAAGGTATGAAATTGTCCCGAAGTCGAAACTTTTTTTCCCCCCCCCCCCCCCCCCCGCCGCCCCGTCTCGAACGGTGAAGACTTCCTTTTTTGCAGTTTTTGAGCAACGCTTCAAAGCCAACCTGTTTTTGTTATTAAGCCTGTGTGTGCCGTAAAGAAACAGGAAGGCGAGTACCAGCTGTCTCGCTGCAGTGGTTTTTTAAATGGAGTTGAACGAGAGGAGTGAGTGGTAGTGGTGTCGAGCGAGATCGCTGCATCTCCTGGCTGAAATGCCCAGCCTCGGATCCTCCTAACTGGCCCCCTGGCTGCAAGAAAGCTTCAGTATTTGTTGCAGCAGGTTGTATAGAGGATGATGGAAAAGACAAAAACCAACTCCTCCCCCCCCCCAAACGTAGCTCTTAGTGAATGCCGCAAAACTAACGTGTTCAGCAGAAATCTGGAAGTTCATGGAATATTTGTTCTTGGGGAAAAAATTGAATTATTGCTCTGTTTAGAATAGGTTGTACCAGGTATAATGCCCCGCTGGGAAAAAGGTCCACACACATTGAAAAACGAGTCTCTTCCGCGTAAACCCTCCAATCCCGGCTTCTCGGAGACCGTGAGTGTTGCGAGTTGCTGGAGTATCCTTCGTCTTTGGAATAATTATTTTAAGATTTTTTATTTGAAACATGACCCTTGCTGGGTACCAATAGCAGAAACATAAAGCGAACAGAAGAAAGGGGAAATGTGGTGGGAATATTGTTTCCTTTCCACTGCCTTGCACAAATGTTGATAGCTACTAGAAAAAGCTTCTGAACTTAGGCTGATGTTGCCTTCTGCACCAACACCCTTGAAGAAGTAACAATCCGCAGGGCTTTAGGATGGAGAACGGCTGCCAGGGTTCATTGTTTGTAAGATGAAGCCTCTGTAACATGTAAAATGATATTGAACACTATAGCTCCTGTCACTGGAGGTTGCTTCAGGTTCTGCATTTAAATGAGCAGTAATCTAGGTTGCCTGTGATCCTAAATGATGGTGGTATTTTATATATTGATAGAAGTGACTTAATTGTCCAATCAGCATTAAAAAAAAAAAAAGGGCACATGCCAGCTTCTAGCTTATAGAACTACATTTTGAACATGAAGATTGTAGAATAAGTCCGGGTGGCTATGATGCCTCTAGAGCAGTTGTAGGAAATACTTATGCTATAAAATATTCCTTATCTACGGAGGCTTTGAAAATGCAAAAACAACCCCCAGCATAATTGACAGAATTTCTGTTTTTCCAAGTTCCAGAATGGTAGTTTTAAATTTACCCACACTAACAATTCAGTGAAGAAATTCAGTAATACTAGCGTTTAGACCATTAGGGATTGCATTAAATAATTTCATTATATTTTGACATTGAGTATACTGTGCATCACCCCTCCCCCCATAAGAGTTATTTCTTCTATCAGGGATATATTCTTATCCCTGTATAAGAATTATTTCTCTAAATTGCCTTTCACTCGCTAGACAAATAAATTAGAATTCATTCAGTGAGGAGTGTACCATTGGACTCTGGATCCTTTTTCTTGAAGACGCAAAGTAAAAAATAATTTTTGAAATGGTTATTTACTAAAACGTTCTTGACTGGTCTTTTGAAATAAACTTAAGGGACATACTAAAGATAAGTTTTTAAAAAAAATTTAATCTTTTGTGTATTAACTATGAGCCTGGAATGATTCTAGAGTCTTTTAAAGACGAGTATGTTTTTGAGAAGTCTTTAAAAGAATAATTTAAAAATAGTTCGGACAGTAAGGTAAGATATAAACCCAAATTGGTGTTTAAATAAATGGCTTTATGGTTTCTTTTTGCATTTTTTTAAGAATATATAATTTCAAGCGGTGGCCTGAGGATGGAGACTACTTTCGAAAACTTAATTTTTGCAAGTTTTAGAATGAGTATAGCCACCAGTGGCTATCTATACTGGAAAGTGACTACAGTTTAATGCAGTTGTTACTTTAATGTTACCTAGGACTAGAGAGAGTTGTTGATCATGTTAAAGAGTTTCTCATGTAGTTTCTTATAGGTTAAACCAGAGAGTACTTGTCCCCATTTGGTTTGAACTTATTATATATCTTGTAGTGTAAAATATATATATATATATATATTTTTTTTTTTTGCCCCCTTCATTATTGAGTGTTTTAAGCTCTGGGAGCAGAAAATTAGTATTGGAAATGAATGTTAATTTTTCTTCCTTCTCATACATAGTTCAGCGGATTAAAGAAATAGGTATGTGGGTTTAGATCCACAGGGATAGCATGGGGATTGAATGCTGCAGTAAAATGTAGGCATTTTCTTCCATTTTATTGAGTGCTTTTTGGGGGTGGGGGAGGGGATCACAAAATGAACATTTCTCAGTAAAAGTGGAGGAGGGGCTGTATTGTAATGAGGCTTATTCCTTCTTTTCCTTAGCATTTAGCTACGTGAATTCCTTTAGCCCATTGGTTTTCTGACAGAGTTTCTGGCTGATTATTTTGGGTTGAGGGTGCAGTCTATCCAGAGTCCAACCTTATTTTCAGCTCCTAACAAATGATGGAACTGACTTGAATTTAATCCGCATTCCCTTTCCTATCTTCTGGTGGCGAGTTGTTAAATGAACAGGAAAATGGCCAGAAGATGCACAGCAGGAGTTGAAAGGAAGACCTGCACTGTCTGGGAGGCTGATTTATCCGCAAACTGGATAATCTTAGACCACATACTGCCAGTTCCCAACTTTGTCAGCATTAACTCCTTTGGTAGGTTCTGCCGGCCTGGGCCAGTTTGGGGGGTGGTGGCAGTAATAAAGGCTTATTTAACAGTAGTAAATCTGTGGCCTAGAGGCAAAGGAACGAAGCCTGACTTACCTGGCAAATGGGCTTTACCTATTTCAAAGAATATTTTATGAGCAAAAGTACTGGTCTTTTCTGTTAGTGTTTTTTCCTGTTTTTCCTTAGAAACGTCTGTGTCTTATTTTTTCTTTTCTGTTACTATTTTTTATTGAATTTATCGATCCCTTCTGGGAAAGAGTGTGATTTTTTTTTTTTTTTTTGAGAGTGTAACTTTTTTGTGTGTGCTGTTATCTCTGAAGGTATTTTTCTGAAATGTTTACCTTCTTTGATGAGAGGTTCAGAGTGAGGGTCCTGAAGGTTCAGTTTTTGGAAACTAGGCTGATTAGATTACTAAGTTTAAAATCTCTTCATCATCCATGTAAGGATGAAAAGGGAATATTGGCATGGGTACCACAGAGTAATGGATAATCTGCTGCTCCCTGGGGCTTTGCTTTTGGTAGCTGCAGCCGCTGAGTAGGAGTAGTAGATGGATAGATGGGGAAAGACTGTGGAACTCCGCATAATCCTCAATTAGGATAAGCCTCATGGTTAATTGAATGTTGAGTGTACAGGTTAAATCCCATTATAACAAACTCCAGGGGACTAGCTAAATTATTTTGTTGTACTGGGATTGAGCTTTTTTGAATATTGTTTGAAATAAATTAGTCTTTTTGTTTTTGTTAGAGGTGTTAGAAAAATTTTTATGTATTGTAACCATTTAAGAAGTTGTTAGTCATGAACCAGTGTGTCCCAGGTTCAATTTTAATGCTTTTTTTGCCTTTAAAAAGGAAAATAACTCATGTTGAACTGGACATGTACTTTATCCCCCCACGCTCCCACGTTTAGATCTAGACTAGCTCCATTGGTTTATCTCAACAGCCAAATAAATTTATAAGTACTACTGCCACCATCAAAGTGTGGACAGAGGAAATGGGAAATTCCCCAGGTTTCCAGGTGACTGCTGCTGGTAATTTTTTCTGCCCTTGATAACTTTTTAAAGTAAATAAGTATGCTTCACTTTTGTGTGAACTTTATTTTTTTGGTAATAGTTAAGGTAGTCCTTTTCCATTGATCTCAGTGTAGTTTGAGACACAGATCTGTATGGTTTAAAAAAAAAAGTGATGGTAGTATTAAAAGTGATGGTAGTATTGTAGTTATAAATGTGGAAGTTTTCAGAAACAGGGTTAGTATACATATGAGAAAAATTTCTATTATG